CAGTATGTGCCCTCAAAATTTGGTTTGCTAGAAAAAAAGCCATTTTTTAATATATTTAAAATAAAATGTATGGTAAAAGTCATATAATTTATATTGCTACATACTCAAACTATATTTCTTCCTAAAAATGTTATTTTTGAAGCTCTGGGTCTAAGTGTTGTTTGCCCCAATCAAAATTATATCACAAAGGGTCTATGTGAACAACTTAATTAGCCGGGTGTGAAGAAAAGCACAGTTGTTTTACACTTTTTTTTTATAAAGGTCAAGATCTTTTGTCTAATGACTTTAAAATTCAACTCTATGGTTTGAACCTCTCCCTGCTGCTTTCTAATAGCTGCATTTGTGACTTGAATAATKTTCTTACCACCTACATGTGATTCAGAGGGTAGTGTGACTAAATGAAAAGTGGATACAGAGTTATACAACTAGAATGAGAAATGCCTATAAATGAAGTATTGCATAATACAAATAAAAATAATACATTTTAAGAACCAACTGCTTAAATTCAAATAAATTTATACCTACTTAAAACATAATAGACTATGGTGGAAGATGTCTTAATCAAAGTCTTTCTCATAGATATACACCTTTAGATGCTGACAAGGGCGTAACTTTAGGTCTACCATTGGGGGGTTATGCTCTAAAACTCTGCATATCATTTTCAGCAGTTATGCTTAAATGTACAAATGTACTGTTCTCCCATGTTTGTTATATTCTGTCTTCTTGTGAATGGGTGTTCTGAACTGTAATTCCATTGTGTTCTGTTCAATGACAATAAATGTCTATCTTATCTTATCTTATCTTGTCTTATCTTGTCTTATCTTGTCTTATCTTATCTTATCTTTATTGCAATTTTTTAATCAGGTCAAAGTCACCTAAAAACAAGAGAGTTGCATCTGTCTTTTTAACCAGTTAATTTTGATTATGTTTGAGCAAATAATGTCATTTTATTGGGAGGGTTATGCTGACTGGATCAAATTATTGTGGGGGACATAACCCCCCTAACCCCCACAAATTATGCCAATGGATACTGATACATTTGATGGTCTCTTTCCAGCTCTTTGAAGCTCTTTAAAAAACAATATGTAATGTATATCTGCCTGAATTTCACGTTAAAATAAATGAGTTCTTTTATGAAGATGCGCTGAAAAAAAAAGAAGGGAAAGATTTGTTGTTGCCATTTATTAATCATGCTTTATGCTAAGTGTTTAATTTTAATTAGTATTATAGGTACCATCAAATTCCCAATCAGTCATTCAGCCCAGAACAAACATGTCACAAGGTAGTTTGGTAAAGTTGTGTGCACCACACTGAACGCGGAGCAGAGAAAGCCAAGGTGAGTACGGCCTGAGGAGCTCAAAAAAAATAGGATTACAATGTGACAACACCACATTTGTTAATACTGAACCAAGTATAACATTCTCAAACGACTGTACCTGACCTCTCAGAACATGGATGCAAGAGGAAATGAAACATCCGGTTGATCAGTTGAAACCATCCAAAACCTTTTCAGGCTGAAGTTCAAGCTCAGTGTATGGCACTTTCTGATCACACCATTTGTCACATGTTTAGTCATAATGGGCTCCATGGAAGAAGAGATCTCCAGTATTGGAAGAAAAAATAAAATTAAAATCTCCAGACAAGAATATGCCAAATGTACGTTGATGAGCCTCTGAGTTTCTTGGACAAATGAAGCAAAACTGAAGCCTTTCGGCCATTTTATCAATTGTGTTTATTTTGTGTGTGTTGTGGAAGGGTACCAAAAATATATATCTGTGTCTCCATTTATTCAAAAACTTTGCATTTCGTAAATGATGCCCTGTAATTGCAGTAAACAAAATCAAAGGAGTCCCCGGGAAATTCTATAAGCCTGTAAGTCAATGTGAGCCTGTCAGATGAATCAGTGTGCCAGCTGGCAGATCGAGCTCATCTTTCTAAAACAAACTTTAGTTTTCAAATTTTCAGCACCTCTGCAACATGTCAATGAGGAGCATGATGGATTTACATTGTCTTGGCAAAAACACTAAGTTGTTCTCAGGCCAAAATTGGTCAAATGCAGAGCTCTAAACTGTGATATTGATTGTCCAGGAGCTGCCATAGCAAAATGTCTCATGATGCAAGAAATAGAAGTGGTTATGTTTTACTTTTGCTAGTTGTGGCTCCATTGCTGTATGACTTAC